ATCTGCAAAGTGACCAATCATGGCATGATATTCAATTTGTGTGATCGACCAATCACGAGAAAGTTATCCTATATGCTTATGACATTGTTCTAAAACAAATGACAGATTATAATTATTTTCGAAATTTATGGTGGAAAGAAGGAAATATTCACCCGGGAGCAAAATGGGAGGAAGTTACGTAAGCTGTTTCGTGGTGGGTCATTTATATATGATCAAGACTAAATTTTTTTGATTACAACAAGACTTCCATACGTGCTTGCTGAGGGTATGACTTTGGATGAGTATGAACGTCGCACCGACAGGTTTAATGTTCATGGGCTATGGGAATGGGAAAATTTTAGGGTCTTTGTTTATGAACTTCCATTAAAGCCACACGAAGTTTGTATTGGCACAATTATTAAGTATTTTAATAGACATTGTAGTGGGTACCGATGCCAGTATTTTAAACATAGGAGCAACTCGTAAGCATCAGTTATTTAACTATCTCAATCCTGTTCATGATATCAAATTAATTTCCTTCTTTTAAAGGAACTCGAGCTGATAGTTCTGGCAAAGAGGCAGACGCATCATTTCATCCAATGAAACAACGAGTGCCTGCATCAACCGGAAGTGATGGAATGGTTTTTTTTTTTTTTTTTTTTGTTTCTTTTATTGGCTTTGAACCTTTCAACATTGGAATTTTACATTTTCATGATTTTAGAATGAACCGTGGCCGAATATTATTGTAGAAGTCGCATATTTCGAAAGTATAGATCATGTCTTCGAAAAGGTGAAAAATTATTGGTTAAAAGATCTTAGTCGTGCACATGATGCGATAGTTGTTAAAATTGATCCTGTTCCTGAGGGCGAAACACCTTCACGCATGCAGGTAAGCTATATCTTAAAATGATGTTTTATGATTTGTATATGATTCTGAAGAATAAGTCTATGTAGGCATGGCACTTTTGCTCTACGGACAGAAGGACAAGAGGGGAGAGCTTCATCATCGAACCCACGTAATGTTATGTTAATAAAAATATCTTTTTTTATTTATTATTTTTCAAAATTTTTAATATGGATAGTTTATCATTATTAGTTTGAGTTTGGCACTCATGATGGAGCCGGGAATCCGTTGAACATTTCACGAGGCATATGTATCATCAAGATTAATTTGGATTGTCTTTACCATCAAATATACCCTGGTATACAAGTTCCACGAGATATTCTCCCAGATCCTATTGAACTGGATTTCTCTTTTGTTCGAGATGAAATTTTTTGTGCATTTAGAATATAATATAATGGATGGTTTAAGGAACTAATAATAATGATCAATAAAATTGGTGAATTTAGCATAGTTGCAGAACATTAAAAAGTACATGTTAGTTTTCTTGAATTTGATTATCTCTTAGTTTTTCACACTGGAAAATATGTGATTTATTTTAGCAATGTGTATTCATACAATTGGAAATATGCAAAAAGTCCGTTGTTGTACATGAATCACACATGCAGTGATCATTTAAAGTTACAATTTATTCATTCTTAAGGGTGTTCTGAAATAACTATACATGGATTTTTGTAATATCAAACATCTTTTAGGAATTAAGTTTCTTTGCACAATTTTTCCTTGAGTTGACCTCATTTGTTCTGTAGAATTTTCTGGATCTATACGGAAATTTGATAATTTTTCATACTGATATCATATAAAGGAGATTGTTAGAACTAGAAGAGAGGAAAAAAGAGTCGCGTTTAATGGTCGCCGAAATAATTCGGAAAGAATCACAAAAAACTTGTAAATGTCTTTTAATACACGGTTTTTATGTACTAGAGTTGGTACTCGAAACGAAACCTACCCGAAACTAGTTTCGGAAGGCTCTAATCCGAAACTAGTTTCGGATTTTTTTAAAAAAAACCGAAACCCCGAAACTATAATCCGAAACCTCAAAACTATAATCCAAAACTTTAAAAGTATAATATATTGAAATTTATTTAGACAGTTCTACCTCCCGACACTCTTACTAATTTCCCCAACACATATACCTGTATACTATATATTATTATATACATATTATAACTGCTTTTATTTTCAGGGACATGGAATATTTTCAAAATTCAATTTTGAAATAATTTGAGATTTATTAGCTATAATATTCCATATTATTCTATTTTATTCTTAACAACGGAAGTATACTCGTTCTTTCATTATAATGTTGACACATTCAACATTATTAAACTTTCGTTTGAACACTTGTTTAGCATATTTGGTATGTTTAATTTGTGCGAAAGTTTATGGGAAAGGAGTTTATTAACAAATAAATCTTGACAAGAAATGTAAAAAAAGGCTCCAGATCTAAAATAGACTTTTATAA